GCAGTCAGCTGAAGTAGCCTGCAGTACTGCACTCTAACCACTGCGCCACCTTGGCTCTTCTATGTCTGAGCATTCAGCATTCATTTGGCTTTCCATTGGGAATTGATGTTAAAGTTGTCGGGCAGATTTTGGGCGTATGCCAGTGTGTGCTTCCTAGATTTGAGCCTTCCGGCTGATAAATAAGATAGGTCAGCATGCACCGGTAGGGATGAGTTGAATAGTTGCAGAAACCATTTTTCGGGACTAACAAACCTTCTTGTTAGCATAAAGGAAGGTTTTTCACCCCTGCAGGATTTGCAAGAGAGCAGATCCAAGAACTCGACATTCCAGTGTAGGCAAACTCACAAAACTAAACGATACCATAGTTGGCAATTTACCTTCCTGTAGCTGCTGCAGCTGCCTTTTTAGTGATGCTAATTTATCCTGGTACATCCTGAAAAGAGAGCAGGTTTTAATGTCACATGCTGTCCAGAGTTACCTGGCAGTGGGATGGGTGACAAGCAAATTTAACAACAACAACAACAATAAACAAGCAACATGAGAAAGAACTGGAGAAGACAACAAAATACAAAGAATAGCAAATAGAAATAGAAAGACTGTGTAGCAAAAGAAAGAAAAGGTGCATCCATAGTGATAAGATGCTTTGGGTGCAGTCCCAAAACAACTGAAACATTATTGTTAGTGTCACTTTTTTCTGTGAATACACTGGCCCAGATTAAAAAATGAAATTATGATGCTCACGCTCAAAAGAAAAATCGATATATAACCATAGACATACACGCACACACATATACATATGGGATATATGTATATGCATATCTACATCTCTCTCATTCCCTCTCTCTCTCTCTCTCTCTCTGTATGCATATATATGTGCATGTATAGATAGATAACAGATAATAGATAGATAACAGATAATAGATAAATAAATAATAGATAGATAATAAATAGATAATAGATAATAGATAGATAATAGATAGATAATAGATAAATAGATAATTTATCGGCTGGCGACTCCCCGGGGGAGAGCCTTCTCTGTTGCAGCTCTGGCCCTCTAGAAC